TAGTTTAATTTATTTGAAAGTTTATCATTGTTGAATATAGATTAATACTTAGTCATATTTTATTTTAATATAATAATTAAATGATTTTATTTTTAAAATTATTTTAACTTTTTTAATATTTAGTAGAGAGATATATTTTTTAAAATTTTTTGAATATTTAAATTACAATATACTAAATATTTAGCTAGATATTAAAAAAAAAAATTGGACATTACACTCAGAACACCCAAAACATTGTTATTTACAAATCGAACACCTTCTTTCATCCATTTTTCAAATTCCCACTTAAATATCAAAATTCATGATAAAATCTCATCCCATATTTTTTTATTTTTATAAATTTTTAATGATTGTTCAACATATCACATGAATTCTTGATTTATAAATAGCAATATTTATGCTGCTGTGTGTGTAATTATTCCTTATCCACCATAAGGTAGTTCTTTTAGGTCATGACAGGCCACAATCTAAGACGTGCTATATCTGGTCAACTTCATTCGAGTGCTTGGCCCTCATTCAAATACTGTAGCAGTGGCTGCTAGATGCCAATATATATATGAAGAGATGGCAGAGGCTATTATATGAGCATCCAACTACTCATAATGCGCCTAACAATTTGAGTATCAGCCTTTTTAAGGCTAGTGTTGCCAGAGGACATAACTGGACCAGGAGAAAAATTTGAATACGTAAGTACGCAGCGCTGCGTACGTCAGGGAGGTTATTCAGAGGGTGTTGGAGGGTTGTATCCGCGTTATACCCCCTGTAACATCTCTATAAACTACTTGTATTTTCTACTAAGTTCCGCGCTTCTGTTTTCATAAATTTGTAGGTTACAGATAATTTACAGGTATGTTACAAGGAGGTTACAGGGGGTATAACGTGGATATAACCCCTCAATACCCTCTGAATAACCTCCCTAACGTACACAACGCTGCATACGTCTTAGCATTTTTTTCTCTGACACCCTAAAATGATATATATATATAATGTAAGATAGCAAATTTGGCTCTTAAAAATAATTTGTTAGAAAAAAATAATAGTCAAATAGATGTATGATTGTGAGAGAAGATTCTCCAACAGCAGAAAGCATTGATTGTTGGTTTTGCAACTCAATCCTTTCACATTTTTCTTTAGGGGCATTTGCACACCTACCACCCAATTCTTACGTATTTTACATTTCAACCACTCAAATCTTTTATATCACATTAAAATATTATTATTTTAAGTTTTAAATTAGTGAAATATTTTGTATATGGTGACTTAAACATTAAAATTGAATTTCAGATGTTAGATATGTAAATACATAGGAATTGAGTGGTATGCAGGTTTTTGCACCTAAAAAGGTCAGTTGAGCTGCAGAGCTGTTGAGTTGCCGAGTTGTCGAGTTATCAAGCCGTAGAATTACAAAGTTGTCAAAGTTGTCAAGCCGCTGAGCTTCCAAGCTGTCGAGCCCCAACGCTCACCTGCCAAACTGCCAAAGTTTCAAGCTCACTTACTGTCAAACTATTGAGTTGCGAAGTTCACTTATCAAATTGTCAAGTTGTTATATTCAACTAGATGGAATGAAATAACATAAAGCTGCAGGACATAACATAAAGCTGGGCATTGCATATATTATAAAACTCTAGGATATGACATATTATTATATATCTTTATATATTTTTATTCTAGACCATGATAAAAAAACACCAAAGAGTAATAAATAAGGTTCAGATGTTTAAACAGAGGCACGGAAAGGGGTAGAAGAATTCTCTCTTCCCATGGACAATTCCTCCTCTCCCTCTCTTTTTTTTTTTCTCACCTCCTCCTGAATGCTAATACAGTTTAGAGCATACCTCATGGACATTATTGGACCCGACATCCTAAAATGATTCAACATCCTAAATGATGCCGACATCCTAAAATGATTCAACAACATGTAAATTTTCTTTTCGTTTATTTACTTTGTTGATACAGTAAGATTCTTAAGGACATCTAAGTAAGCATTAATTTGGGCTTATTACCTGCTAATGATTCAGCATCTTAAATCATGTCGACACCCTAAAATGATTCAACAAAAAGTTGCATGCTTATTTTTTTGATTGATTACAGACGGTACATTCACAAAGTTGGTTGCCTGTACGTGCAGTACAAAAGCATGCGGATTCTATATATCTCTTGGTGCTTCAACTATTGAAGCATTTGACCTCTACTTTTAGAATGGTTTCCAAGTTAGCCTACTCTGTCATCTCCCTCTCCACTCCACTGCCTATCAATGGAGAATATTGAGCTGGATATATCAATCTGTGCTTTGCATGATGGGGGCTAAGAAAGATTGATGGTAGAATTACTTTGGGTTTATGTATTTTCTAAATATTTTTATTTTTATTTCTAAAAATAATCATTCCTTGGTCAAATAATCAAATATATTTTGTTTCAAATCAAAACATAAATAATATAAAATATATAATATAAAAAAATTAAAATTTTCAAAGTCCCTTATGAAACAATAATAAATATTGGCTAACTTTTTAGGAGTTTCGCCTCTTAATCCCTAGAGTAGCATGTATATATACAGACATACATACATACATACTTACCTATGCATTTACACCTTCATCTATATCTAATCAATTAAGTATTTTAAAAGTTATTGAGTAAAGTTGACTTTATTGCATGTAGGGTATTGGATTTCATCATCATTCTTCCATAAACATCTATGTAACATGATGTTGGGCCATTTTCAGAATCCTCCATCATCCTCCTCCCACTTGCATAAAAGGAGGGGCTTCCCTTCACTCTTGATTTGAGCACACAAATCAAGCAAAGAAAATAACCATGAGCAAGTTGACTTTCTTCATCACTCTCTCTCTCTTCCTCATCTCCCAACTATCTTATGGTCAGCATTTTCTCTCTCTTGGTTAAATTTTAGATTCAAATTATTTTTCTTTCACAGTCTATTAATCAAAAACATCAGCTTTTCTTGCAGGAGCAGCTGATTTTTCTATGAATAATGCTGCTGGGCCTTCAGATGCAATGAGCAATGTATATTCTTGCTGTGAAAAAAATTAAGCTGAATAACTTTGCTTTTCACATTTCAGCACTAAATTGTATAATGTGCTAATAATATAGAATTATATTTAATTTCATAAGGTTTCTGAAAGCTTTCTGAAATCATTTCTCTATTACATCAACCTCAAGGAAATATTTTGATTTAATTGTATTGAAATTTTCTAATGCTGTGCAGATTTATGTAAGGAAGGTGTTGGTAGAGATCTTGCTGGATTATCAAGATGCAGGGGCCAATAACAAGCATGACTCACAGAGAAGAAAGCCTGGGATTGGCTTCAGAGCTCCATGAAATGGATTCCACTTATATTTTAGTATTCATATTAGTATTGATATATAGTATCGCGTATCTCGGTGTAAGTCTCTTCAGGCTAGGAGTTCGAATTCCCTTTGGCACAGTTGGACTTAAGAAGGTGGTACTCGAATTGTCAGTCACATTAGGAGTAGCTGGAGGCTTGTATAATAACCTCTCAACATTCCTTTATATATATATATTAGTGGTATGTTTAGCTTTCTATCTACGCTGTGTTTCAGATTGCTACCACAATGAGATGGCAATGTTTTATTAAGATTAGTTAAAGTATGATGACTGTAAGAAAATTATTGTTTTTCTACCACAATTTTCTAAGAAGTTATTTTTTTCTAAGCCTTATAACTACTTTCATAAACCATTTTACCCTCGCCCAAACCGACTTGTTGTCATTGTCAGTGGCTTATATTGTAGAAAATCTGTATTAATATATGTGAGTCTAGATTTTTCTTGTAAAAAATTCAACAAATAATTTTACAAATTTGATCACACCTATAAGTTATTGATTGTAAACTGTAAAAATGAAAGGTAACTCATTAACCATGATCATATGGGATGTAATCTCTCATATTTTAGAATGATCATACTTTTAAGTTTACACAAAACTCTCACCATCAAATGTTGGTGTTTATTTTTTCATAGTGATGTGCACTTGTTTTTTTCCTAGCTTTTTTGGACATTTTTGTCTTTTTTATTAAGTTGTTGACATATAATTTATAATGATTGCACTGCATTTTCTCAACACAACTTTTAAATCGAATAAGACATATGAGAGACTAAATATTCACTAATCCTTGCATACCACAATCTCGTTGTTGCCTTTAATGCATGCATGCCCTAACAACCCCGTGTTTCGTAAGTTTCAAGCAAAATTGGGAAATACAAAACTGTTTAATGGCGAAATGAAAAGAGAGCTTCGAGGGGGTTTAATATTAATTTTCAGGGCATTTCCTTGTATCAAATAAGCCTTATGCATTTTCACATCTAACACCAAAACTTTAATAAAGTAAATAAAAAATTAATAATAATATATTAACAAAATAAATAGATAATTAATAATTAATAAAAATATATTAATGATGTAACAATATTTAACTATTAAAGCTATAGTTAAATATATTCAAGTTAATTAAAATTTATTTAATCAATATATCATAAATGATATTAGTTATCATAGCGCTTAATATTAAGTATTTTAAAAGTTATTTGTTGAACAATCTAATTTTTTCGTGAATATAAATGAACAAGTTCAACTATGTTCATATTTAATTTATTTAAACTCTAAACTTTTAAAAATTATTCAAACTTATTTATTTATCAATTTGAACTAATATAACCAAGTCTTATTTGAGCCGAGTTCTAGTTGTTCATATCGACTGCATTGGTTCATTTACAGCCCTATATCTTCCGATTAAATTGGAATTAAAGTTTAGAACTATTTAAATATTTTCATGCATTAAATGCATATTTAACGGCAACCCCTCTATCTCAATAAGACAAACTGCAACCCAAGAACAGTGACTCGCTTGTGCATGGCAGCAACATTTTTTTTCATTTCCAATTCACAAAACAAAAACAGCAGCAAAAGCAGCAACATGTAACATTAACTAAAAAGAGGTGCTTAGTGAAAATAAGAGTTGTGTTAAGCAAATCAAGTGGCAACATTTAACAAAATTTCATTCATAAATCATTACGCTGCAAAAAGTATTTAACACAACATAGCTGATACACTAGAAGGAGAAAGCAAAAACAATGCAGGGCTATTTTCATCTTTCCTACCATGAAAGCACAAAATTACACTACAAACAAGCTGGGAATATTTGTACCAAAAGATTGCAGCAAAGAAAACTTCAGGCTGCAACTTGGCTCCGGAGCAGAATCCACAAAACCAGCTTCACCTTCACCCAAAACTATGATGCATAAAGCTTAGCTACCACTAAAAATCACTTAAAAGCAGAATTAATAAGGAAATTTACATATATACCAGAAAACTTTTGTGTATTCACATATCTAACACCCGAAGTTTGATATTTATACTTCAAATACCATGGTGTCATAAACTTATGCATGAAAAAGATGCATTTCACTTTCAAAAGGATAGTGATGGTGGTATTTTTGACATCATGTTATGAATGTTTAGATTTTAGATATGTAAATACATAAGAATACTGGGGTATGCATGTAAATGCCCCTAATAAGTAAACTAGTAAGGATATAAACAATCTTAAGACGGCATTCACTGATTAAAAGTACTATAAAGTTATAGAGCAGCTTTGCTTACACGGGGACAAGAAGCCTCTCAGTGAGGAATCTCCTGGTTAACTTTGAATTTTGCTAGAGATGCAAGAACAACATTAAGAGGATCTCCAATCCTATCCTTTTTATCCTTCAAGAAATAAAAAATATATAGGTTGTTGAATTAAAAACGAGTATAAATTTTTTATAATTTAGGCAAAATGAATTTTGCAAGATAACACCTGTTGAATTTGGCACAAATTTTCATGCTCATGAAATAGTAATGATAAAATTATTTAAACAATACACATCAGTTCCTGATTTATTTTCAGTTAGAAAGAGCATTTCAGGATTTAATATAAACAGATATGCATGGATGATGTTAAAATCACTAAAAACTAGCGGGGCTGTTTACCTAAAATATGAAGTCATGTTTGCGTTTTAGATGACTATGGACTTGGAAATTTGCATCAACATTAATTAGTGATATATATGAAAAGCTATAGCATTAAGCAAGAAATTGTGCAAAAATTTTTTAAAAAAAAATTACTTCCATTTATTGAAAGAACAGTATACATCAAAGCAAACAACATGTAATAATAAACATTTTGAAAAAATTTCAACTTAAAAAAAAACGAAGCTTTGTTGGTAATGACACTATGCACGTGTCCTTTGACCAAAAACTCCACCGCTCATAGGTAGTTAAGAACTAAGGGGGGAGTACATCTCCTTCCATTCAAACACATTGCGAGAGAGTGCGAGAGAGACAAGGGGTATGTGAGAGAGCGAGAGAGTGAGGTAGAGGAAGAATAAGAAAAGGAGAAGGAAGAAGAAGAAGCGACAATAGAGGGAGAAGGAGGAGGAGGTTAGCTGTACTTGAGCCAAAGAGATAGGAGGGAGCTCCTGAGGCATTTGTCCGCACGTAGAAGGCTCGAGCGGCCCCTACACGAGCGAAGAAGAGAGAGAGAGAGGCATTCGTGCTATAACCGAGCTGCAAAAGAGGAAGGAGAGCTCGTGCCGCATGTTAAAATCTCAATCAAGAGCTGGAAGAGAAAGGAGGGGACAGGTTCTCCATGTCGTGCGACTCGCCGAGAAAGGAGAAAGTAGGTTATCCAACTTGTGTGGCTCGTAGAGGAAGGAGGAGGAGAAAGGGGGCTCGATTGGCCGGTTTGAAGCTCAATCGAGAGCTTAGGAAGGAAGAAGGCATTGCAGGATTCATTTGCGTGCGAGAGGGGAGCTTTGTTTGCATGAAAGATTTGATCGAACCCTTAATTCGCTTGATTCGGGGCAAGACAGAAAAATAAAAGGTAAGAATATAATTTAATTAGTGCTATTTTAATTTAAATTATTTAGGTATTAATGTAAGTAATTTAAATTAAGTCATGAAATGAAGATTTTAATGTTGTCTCTTGCAAGTATAAATTTAGGGTTTCGTCAAAACTAACGAGGAAAAGGGGAAAAGAAAAGTTCAGGTATAAACTCAATATCAATAATGAATTTTTAATTTCTTATTTAATCTTGTTATAATGAAATTAAGGATCATAAAGTTAAAATTTAGTAATAATTAAATTGCTATTATGTTAGGCATGCAAAAAAAGGAAAAATGTTAAAAGTTTTAACATAAACCGTAATTTAGATATATATATATATATATCTATCTATCTGTGTGTGTGTAAATAGTTAAGAGAATTTACAATTAATAAGATACAAGATTAACACTGATAAGAAGTTGCTTTCATTTAAATTATTAATACAGGTGTAACTAAGAACGAGAGACCCGACGAAAAGAATAGCAGACGACACGGTTGAGGTGGATAACATGTTTTTATTTTACAATAATTCTATTTATTTAGGCATGTTTTTACTGTTTTTTCAGCTTTTATTTAAAAAAATGCAAAAAATAATGTTTCCTTTCAAATGTTAAATGCAAAATAAAAATAAATAAAATATAATATAATTCATGCATATGAGAGTCACCACTGGATTATACTAATAGGAGGATGTACTGTACCCATGCACGAAATGAAAATGGAAATGAAAAAAGTTGTCTACCTTTATAGAATGTGAAAAAGGCTAAACGTATATTTTTTATAAAATATAAGTTTAAACGATAACGCTCAATTATGGAAAAATGTAATCTAAATAAATAAAAAAAAATCAAATTTATTTTATTTATTGTTCACTTTTACTGCACAGTTTTTACTATTACCGCACTTTTATAAAAATATTTTAAAAATGAGAATTATTAAAATTTAGAAACATTAACTCACTGAGTAGTTTTAACTTAAACTATAATTGCTAATATTATTACCAGAAATCTAGTTGTATATTAGATGGACCACACGTACAGGCGTCATGGAGCGTCAGTTGATATGTATTGTAGTTAAGTTTATTTTCTATTTGAATGTAAATATTTAAATATGAACAATCTATTATAAATATAATTTGTATGAATTTGAATGACTTTTGTGTTTTAGATTTTTTTTTTTGTGATGAAATGAAACTGTTAGTTATGTCTCCTTCGTCCGATCGTCAGTTCCCGCTTTAGTAATTCCAAGTTCACCGGATCAGGTCGTGACAAGAGTGGTATCAAAGTCCAGTTAAGGGCACTAAGTAATAAAAAAACATTAAGAAAATCATTAATATTTATTATGAAAAGTAAAAAAAGGTAATTAAATTTTTATATTAATAATTAAAAATTTTGTTATCTCAGAGCAATTGATTTTGATCCGAGGGATATGAATGAAAATGAAGAGATGTAAGAGGTGCTGATTATCAGGATCGGGTGCCTCCAGCACATACTGATCCTCATCTACTGGTGCCAGTGTCCCTATGAAGACATTTACTCAGATGATGGTCGCAGTGATGACTTGTTCAAGGTTTTCAGACCTAGGCAAGTGGTTGTGGAATAGCTCAGATGGATAAATATCCGAAGCCATTTTAGGATATGCAACCACCACTATTCTCAGAAGGGTCAGTTGAGGCAGAGAACTAATTATTGAGGGTAGAGAAAATCGTTGAGGGTTTGTCATGTCTTCAGAAGAGGAAAGTCGCATTAGTTGTTTTTGCTTTCGAGGGGGGAAACAGAGAGGTGGTGGCAGGGTCAGCTTCAGGCGATGTTTGGCGGACGACCCAGTAGTCAAATACAGTGGGAGGACTTTGTGAAGATTTTTTGTAACTAATTCATTTCTCTTTCAGCCAGAAAGCAGATGCATAATCGGTTCATCAGACTCGTGCAGGGCGACCGACCTTTATGCAGTATGAGGATGAATTCACAATGTTGTCCAGGTATGCCCCTCAGTTGATCCCAAATGTCGAAGAAAAGTGTCATTGATTTCTCTTTGGATTGAAGGAAGTCATTCGACAGCCTTTAATTCCTTTTAACAATGAGGATTACTCAGTTCTTATATAGAGGGAGAGAAGGATAAATATTGATTTACAGAAGAGGAAAGACCGCCCAGTCTGTCCAATCTGGACAATCTAGTATGAAGAAGCTTCGACCCAGCAATGGTCGTACTGGTAGTGACACTGGCAACAATGGCAGCAATGGCAACAACAGTATAATTACTTGCGGCAAGTGAGAAAGGGCACATAGAGGAGTGCTTGTCGGGCACCAACACATCAGTCTGAAGATTAGGTGAGGAAGTGTCCTACCTTAGGACAAAGACCTCATGTTGATGTCAGGATTAGTGCTCCACCTACTCAGAGGACTTTCAATAGAGAGGGCAGCTGAGTCATCAGGATCAACTCCATCTCCGAGTCAGACCCATCAGGGTGTGTAACTTAGAGTTTATGCATTACTCAACTGAAAGCAAAAGATTCACCTGACGTCATTACATGCATTTCTTTATTTCAACAGATTTGTGAAATCTTTATTTATATCGCAAGGCTTTTATATTCTGGATATTATAGGTTTCGTATTTATTCAAACCAATTTGGTCTGAACCTTATTTGATATTGGGCATCACATTCATCTCTGAAGAATTTGTAAACTCTGAAGGATTGGAAGCATTCAGAATGTTTTATACCTTATCAGTTCTTTTACTTAATGAGTCTCACATGATGGCTGGTAGAAGCTGTTGAGTGAATCTGACAATCTACGATAAGAGCTTCAAGGCGCATTTGGTAGTGCTACCACTCACCGAGTTCAAAGTGATCATAGGGATGTATTGACTATCTAATCATTTCACAACTATTGATTGTTCTAAAAAAATAGTTAAATTCAGTATTCCTGGAGAAGAAGAATTCAAGTTTGTGGGTGATTGAGGAGTTATGTCTATGATGATATCCAGTTTAAAGGCATGCAAATTGTAAGAGCAAAAGGATATCAAGGCTTCGCTTCTTAGCTCAAGTCATTGATATTGCGAGTGAACCAAATGAGTTAGAGGATATACCGTAGTGAAGAAGTATCCAGAAGTCTTCTTAGTTGATTTGTCAGGTTTGCTTCAAGAAGAGAGAAATATTTTCTTATCGATTTAAACCTTATAGAATGAAAATCAAGGAACTGCAAGAATTGAAGAGCAAGCTACAGTACTTATTGGAGAAACAATTCATCGAGCTAAGCACTTTCCTTTGGGGAGCTCTAGTGCATTTTGTTAAGAAGAAAGATGAGAGCTTAAGGCTATGTATTGATTACCGAAAATTAAACAAGTTCACAATCAAGAGCAAATATCCTCTGCTAAGGACCAATGATCTTTTTTATCAGTTGGAAGGAGCTTCAGTGTTTTCTAGGATTGGTCTACGCTCAGGTTATCACCAATTGAGAATTAAAGAAGATGATATCGTAAAGACAGCTTTCAACACCAGATATGAGCATTATGAATTTGTTGCAATGCCTTTTGGGTTGTCAAATGCACTTGCAATCTTTATGGACCTGATGAACAAAATCTTCAAACCATTTTTGGATAGATTTGTGATAGTCTTCATCGACAACATATTAATCTATTCCAGTGATGAGATTCATTACATAAATCATCTTCGCACTATTCTGTAGACATTGAAGGAGAATAAATTGTATGCCAAGTTGTCGAAGCCTGATTTCTGGTTGGGAAGCATAACATTTTTGGGGCATATCATTAACAGTGAAGGTATCACAGTGGACCGGAACAAATATAAAGTGATAGCCAATTGGCCCAAACCAACCACAATTAC